CAATATAGTACTCTAACAAGGATTTTGGAAGTCTTGCTGCGACAGTGCTTCACGAAAAGGTCATGTTATTAACATGTCAACGAAAAACATTCGAAGGCTGAGCTTACATAGCCCAGTAGTATAATCGCTAATCTAGAGCAACATAAGAATTCATAAACCCAAACATGCTAGAGACATGGTACTAAGTAGTGGGTATATGTATGATCTAGTCAAGTTTTACCTACTTACAATTTAGTTGTCATATATCTTAAATGGGGATCTCTAACCCTGATGTTTAAATATGCTATGCATTCTCTATATGCGGTACTAACTCTACTATGCATTATCTAAATATCATGCTAACTCTATTTTGCTTTATCTAAATGCAATATTGAATCTGTTGTGACTCATATACTAACTCAAGTAGGCATCATGCTACGACTGAGGGATTCTTCATCTAAGAGCTCACACACCCCTCTAACCTACCAAATACTAACATATGATACACACCAACAAACAATAATATGCGGCTGACATCATTGTACAACTAAGGGATTCTGCATCTTAGAGTTTACGCACCCCTCTAGTACTGCCAGTATACCCGAAATACACTAGGGTGAGATACATAATTCTGCATCGAAAGCATACACTCGCCAACTTACTCCGTCGATTCTTAGGGCATCTGCGCCCAGCTGGCAAAAGAAATGTCGTAACACTGATTGGATATCTACTAACTAATGTATACTGAACAAATTGAAAAACAAGACAATTGCCCTACTACTAAAGTAACTCGGGTGTCTTGATTGTTTCCCAAGTATCACACAAAGGCTAGTTTTATGACATCCTAATTGTTACTATTTCTAGATGTTACTGTTAATGTTCTGACTATTACTAAGTTATTGCTGATTTCGTTTACTGCTTACCCTAGCTGTTAACTCACTCATTCTCTAATCTAGAACATTATGCGAGGAATTACTAGTATGTTGATTCTGATGATTTGTATTCGCCACTTAAGGATATTTTAGTTGTTTTTTCACTCTGGAAAGTCTATACGTAATTTGATACTTCACGATGATTTTCGAGTTTATTACTTACTCGCTAGGATTCTGATTCATTCCATATCTGACTCAGGTTCATTTCTGGGTAGCGATGCTCTGTTCGTTAACCCTACACTTTCCCTCAATTCACCCTTGAATTAAAGGAATAATTGTGTGTCCAACACTCTCAGTCATTATTGCGATATATGAAACTAATGCCTCATAATATGATTACTTGGTCGTACCATTCGTCGGTAAACCCAGTGCACTGATCCTCTATCCATATATTTGTTACATGCTTACTGAAGATACTTGGATGTAATACACCTACTATGGTTACACCGGTTGCAACCCACTCCTACGAGTGTCTCTAGGCTCCTTTGGCCATTTACGCCCCTCATGGACTATGCTTTATCCTTATGGACCATCCTAAGATCTTACAAACCTTAATCCGAGATGGGTAGTATCAATACTATAGTTGTAGTATCGATACCCTAGATTCAAGTATCGATACCCCTATGAGTATTTGTACCAAAAATGTATTCTGCTACTGAAATTAGGGCCTGATCTCGAGAACAACACTTACAGTCTTGAGACTGAAGCGGCAATATTGATACTATTTTGTTAGTATCGATACTCTTTGCCCAATTTTGCCCTGATTCATATGGTATCGATACTGTTAATCCCATTATCTATACTCAAACCTAGAAACTGATATTTTAGGCTCGGGAAAACACCCAAAATCATCTTATGTGATTTAGGTTGGTTCCTAAATTGATTTTGATGTTCTAGTGAGTTATTTAGGGTCATTGTGTGTCTTAAAAACACATTCTTAACACTTAAAACGTGATTACATCTTGAAATCAAGTTTAAACCCTAATATGCTCATCTACTCAAATCTTAGCAAATAGTTGAAATTTATGGAATCTTAATACTCTAAAGGATTAGAAATACACTACCTTATTGATTGAATCCCGAAATTGAGCTCCTTTAGCTAGAAACCATCCGCCACCTTGACTTGGATGGTAAAACCCCTCTTTTCTTTGCTAGAGTAATACCCAACTTTAAATCCTTAAAACCATACTGTTGAGGGTTAATTTTAGACGAATTCGAGATATAAAAAGGCTAAAAAAATATTACCTTTTCTATGGCTTGGAGAGGAAGAAGATGGAAGATAGAAATATGAGAAAATGAAGAGAAATATGAGATAAAGGGATAATAAAGGCTCCATCTTTTAAAAACGGGTTAACTACACTGGTGGTCCCTCTTCATCTTTTTACTATGCAAAAATCTCCTCTTTATGTCTAATTGCGCCCAAAACCATACTAATTAAGCCCAACAACTTGAATTATAATTTCTACGGAGTCTACTTACCTCTCGGGTAGACCTGAAACTAATAGCCTGAAATTTGGGGGTAGTTACACTCCTGCAGTGCAAGCTTGGACTACTTTGATACCGTCTTTAGAGTTGGCTTTCTTTTTAGATATGGAGTTACACGATTGGTTAAATAAAAGTTTGTCTGGTTCGATGAACTCTACTTACGATAATGAGCAGTGTGATCTCGTCTTTGGCTATGCTGTGTGGAATTTATGGCTTGGACGTAATACTCACATCTTTAATAATTTGTTGCATGGTTATGGTTCGGTGGTTGATTGTAGGAAGTGACTGGTTGAGCTCTCTATCCGAGCTTTAACAGAAAATCAAATGAACAACACCGGTAATGGAGTGGGTAACAGAGCTACTGCCCGATAGAATATACTGCTGCTCTCCCAGTGGATTAAAATCAATTCCGATGGAGCAAGATGTGAAGAGAGTGGTTTCGCCATGTGTGATGGCATTAATCGGGACAGCCTTGGTGAGTGTTGGTTTGGTTTAGTTTTACGAGGTTTATTTATATTTGTTTGCTTTTGGATGCCCTTACCGAAGACATGACCTCTGATAGGAAAGTATGGAGACTTAAGACCAGAGTAGCCGGTAGTGTTGGTCACAGCCATAGGGTGTAGCATCTCTGTCTTCTTTTTAATGCCTTTGTAGTAATTTCCTTGACTTTTACTTTTTATACGTTTATGTCATGGAAATTTATGAAGGATTAGAACTAGGGTAGCGGAGAAGTGTTGCCTTAGTTTAGGTATTAACCTATTTGACTTTATTCCTTTATCGTAGCTCGCAACCTCTGACTTCTGCGTATTATTCTCTTCATGTTTCCTCTTTTAAATTTAGCTGGGACTTACGTTTCTGTCTATATGCAAAGATTTTTATGAAGGGATTTATTTGCAGGGATTACTTCACATAACAGACGCGCATATGAAGACCGCATATGAAAACTGTTCAACTACGTATTTATTTATTTGTTTATTTATTTATACATACATTATATTTTATCTTTATTTTTAATTTTCTGACTGCCGGAGGTCTTCTACGGAAGCTGCTCTCAAACTGGCATTTGGGGCAGTCTACTACCCTACCTCCCCTAACCCCATTGCATATTGGAATAGGGTTTTGTTGTTGTTGTTGTTGTTTTGGATGCCAAACTTTGGGGGGTACTTTGGACTGTTTTATGCTTGTGAAACTGGGTTACATCAGGTTGTTCTTGAATAAGATGGTGTGGAGGTGACTCGGGTTTTAAGAGATGACTTTAGCGGAAGTCACTTTCTGAAGTGGCACTTAGATGTTCTTCGCCTCCGAGACTGGAATGTGCTCCAACAACATACACGTTGCGAGGGAAGAAAGTGACTGATGTGTTGGCTAAAAGCGCGAGACCGGATAATATGGACATTATTTATCATGTACTACCACCCTGTGTGGATTCATATGTTACTTCACGATAATACTGTTTACAGTTAATTACGTTCTTCTTATATTAGTTTGGGTACTCTTTTTCTAAATCAAGGTGCAAAGAGGTTTTTAACGAGGTCCGAATTAATATGTCTCCGTGTATGATTCTCTTTGAATGAAATCATATTTTTTCATAAAAAAAAAAACAAATTTAATGGGATGGAGGTAGTAATAAATTTATACATAAATTTTTAATTTCTTAATAATTGTACATAAAATTATTTATGTGATCAGGTTCACCCTAACCTTGAATAGAATATTTATACTAGTATTTTATTTACATAAAATTACAATATATTGGGAATAGTAATTGTTGTTATATTAGTTACAAAGTCTTCTGAGGCGAAGTAGATTGAATAACAGTTTTTGTTATTGAATCATTGAATTTATTTGGAATGTTGTTGCATTACCATTGGAGTTGGATCTATTCTACAGAATGTACATTGTTTAATGGAAGGCCCATTCTACCTTTGACCGAGACTTGACTTTGTAATGATTTGGCTAATGCACTTGCAATTGTTGAAATGCAACGAGCATTGGTTTCCAAGGCACAATGGCGAGGAAGCTAACTGATTTTACTTTCAACTCAGAATCTGAGAGCGGGATTGCATGTTTAGGTTTTTGTATTTTGGACTATGGGTTAGTCAACGCTGCCTCATTGATAAACATGTAGAATGGTGGTTCCTTGATTATAGTGGATTATATTTTGGTAAATTTTCGAAGTGTTTGTTGCAATGTTGAATGAGATAAGCATTGAGTCTCAAGGTGGGGTGGTCAAATCCGAAGACTTTGAGTCGAGTGCCTTCGGATGTCTTGTTGATTTTGGTCGTCGATTGTCGGATTTGTATCTCATGGAGTTGTTTCTTTTACCGAGTTGTGTTGTGTTGTACTCTTTTCCTCCATATAAGTTTAGGGAGACTTTAACGAATACACACAACTTTGGTTTTGAGATTTTTTAACCTTTAATAAAATTTATTTTTGCCGAGAAAAAAAAATTGTTATGGGAAAATACTGGTTCACAATTTCATACTTCATATCTTCTGGTTTGAGTGATTGATCAGTCGAGATTTTTTCTATAAGTTTCTCTCTATTTGGGGTCAAAAGAACCATAGAGAGAGAGAGAGAGAGTCCCCTTTGTCTTATGAATGCTCTGTTATATATTCCATATATCTGGGAGCCACATGAACGATTCAAATTCCAACACATAAAAAAGTGGTTCAATAAATGGCTAGAGTACATGCTAGCGAGGCGAAAGCAATAGCCTTGTAAGTAACTGAAGTAGGCATCTTGCCATTGTCCTCTCGGAAAAACATTGCTTGGTATACTGGCAAGTTGATTGTTACCAAAGCCAAGCAGAGCAGAATTTGCACTCCAAATTGGTCCAAAACATTAGACATGATGACCTTCTTGATTGCCCCAAACATACCCAACAGATTCAACATCGCAAGCGTGGCTAAAATATCGAACATCGGTGAAGCAACACCAAACTCAATCAGCTCACGATCATATCTTTCATAGACGTCTTTGTCGGCTACTTTGGCGGTGACTACGAAGGCTAGTTGTGAATACCCTAATAGCTTCAAGATGGTTTCAGAGAAGGCAAAGAGGTATGAAGTTGTTCTCTTGAACAACCACATCCTCTGATCATTGCACCAACCCAAGAACGTGCCCCCGCACCATATGAACTCACCAAGGCTATATGCACGGTGCGAAAATGCAACATATGTGAACGGGAGAACCCAAAGGCTCGATATCTGCAGGTTCCCATAGTTTTACAATCACTCACATAGCATCCAACGAGATAAATAGTTAAAATATTAGGAACTTTATACCTTGGAGAACAATGAGATGCCTTTAAGCAGGCAAAGGCATGGGACAACAACATAATACAACGTTGCCAAGCAGTTTGCAGACCAGAAACTGTAAGGACAGTAAGCAAGCCGAAGCATAAGAGGGATCTTTCTATATCCATACAGCAAGGGGCAGTATTCTGATAGGAAAACTTGAAAGTGGCCTTCCGTCCATCTCTTATGTTGCACAAGCGTCTGTAATAATGTTATTGGAGCAACTCCTAGGAAGCCTTCTCTTTCAGGGCTTAAAAACATGGATTTCCATCCCCTACATTGCACACTTAACCCTGTAACAATATCTTCTACCGGAAAGCCATATACTAAACCCATCTGCAATAAAAGAAAACTTATTATTTTTATTACAATTGAGGATCCGGGTTCGAGCATCTGTACCTCTGCAGGGTGTGTATACGTTGCCATAGGTTAAGAAAATTCTGAACAGATGCTACCTGTTTTCCCCATGGTGTGTTGTGTTCAAAGGTACAGCTTGCAAGAACTTTACATGTCTCTTCAAGGAGGCTTGCACTTTCTTCAACCTTAGTATCATTTAGTTTTGTCCAATCAACCTTATAGTCTTTGTCATATTTCTTCCCACAAAGAGCCTCTCTTCTGTGGAAGCATCCTGAGCCAATGTAGCATGGTCCTCCATTGGCATCAAGTCCTTGAATCTCCACCTTAACCAAATATCATACACCATATGATCAGATAATCATTGTCTGCAATAAAACCATTCTGATATAGGCTTAACTACCTTTTGTATCACTCGAATACAGTTGCCATAAATATCATTTTTGGTGATATTATCGAAATTCTGAGGGAACTGTACGAATGCAATCTCATCTCCCTTCTCTTCATCCATGAAAAAGCACAAAGAATATTTGATGGATTCTGAATTGTTGGAATACATGTCGCAATCCACGTTCATAAAAATTGGACTGTTGCTGATCTTTGATGATACCCTTATCTATTAATTTTTCACCATAAAAAGCATCAATAACACGCAAACCAAATTGCCCTGTATTCAAACCTGTAGTGTATATTACACTTACAAGAGCATTCATGGCTCCAGCTTTGAAATGGTGGTGATGCTGGGGCCTTTTCTCTCTTGCCAAATACACAAGTGTTGGCAAAGGGTTTCCTTCGTTATCCACGGCATTGGGGTCTCTTCCATCGATTAGGATCTAAAACAGCACCATTAGCTAAAAACACTCAACTATTTAGGCCTTAATTCATAAACTAATTAGGAGTTCATAGAATGATTAATTACTTGAAGAATGGTTTGATGATCACTTTTGTTCGAAACAAAGTCCCACTCACGAAATCCTTTGTGTTGCTTCAGAATGTGCTCTGGAATTCGGTTCAACTTTGTTGTGGTTTCAATCCTCATTTTCACGTCCTCGTATTGTTTCTGCAAGATAATTATACAATAAATAAATGACTAAAAAGGTGCTGGAAGACATGCAAAATCAATTAAATTTCCATTTTTTTGGATATATTTTTTAGAATATGAAATTATAAAATATAATAACTTAATTACGTATAAAAATATGAGTTTAATTGGATGTATTTTTCTTTAAAATTTTATATTTTATATATTACCCGTTGAAGTTGACAAAATCTCTTAAATTTTAAAAGAAAATATTATCAACAAGATAAATTATTATTTATCAATCAATTGTTAATTTTCTATTGTTATAATTAAATTATTATTATTTTATTAAATCGTCATTAACATTACTTTTTTATTTATTTTATCCATTTATAGTTGAAAAATTAACATTCATACTATAATTAACATTATAGTTAAAAAATTATGAATTGAAAATGAATTAAATATTGATAATTGTTATGTTGCTTTGATGAGACAAAAAACGTACTCGATCAATATCAATGCACTGACATTGCAAGTCAAAAACATCAATAATTGATGTAAGATAAAGAAAGTGAGTCATTTGGACGTAGTACCTTCACAAAACGCCACTGTTCAACATCCACTCCTACAGAAGCTTTCCTAAAGTAGGCCTCGGGACATCTCGGCTCTACTTTGAACTTGTAGCAAAAGGGCAACCAAGTCTTGGAGAAATTCGTTGCCTCTAGCATGGCATAAAACGTCAAATCCGATCCCCCGTCGTCCGATAAATAGATGTTTAGTTTCTCGGGCGGATAATCATATGCCATCACTGATAAAACCGTGTTCACCACCATGCTCGGCGGTTCAATCATCGGATCCGCCGTGCACACGAATATGTCGATGCCCGGTAGTTCTTTTCCGAACCTTTGAGAGAGCCTGTGTATGTAGGGAATACGATAGACACAGTTCCATCGACAAACTGTGGTGAGAAGCCAATAAAAAGTGAACCATAGCTCCGACACGAACATGCCGGCCCAAGTCCATCTCTCTACTTTTCCTCCGACCGGGAAAAACCTTACTCTATATAGAAAAACGAAAGAGATGGCAAGCAAGATGGAAGCTGCAACAGACCTGAAAAGAATCCGTCCCTTAAGTTGTCTTGTTTCGAAGAGTGGAGCATATTCAATCTTTGCCATTTATCTCGCAACCGAGAGAGTACTATGAAGGGAGATGAAGTAGTTTCTAATGAATCTGGGGTTTGTGTGTCTTTTTTCCAATGTCAGATAATGTATGGCGTTCTTAAGTTTATCCGAACATGACATGGTTCTACGTAAGGGTTCATCATTGAAGCTTTACATGCTTGATAATGATATCACTTTCGATGTTTTGTGTAATCCTGTAGCTTCCACGTATTTTTATTTAGGATAAAGTATAGTAATGGTCACTGAACTTTTCTAAAACTTTTATTTAGGTCCCCCAACTTTTAAAACTTGCAATATAATCCCCCAACATTTAGTCTGTTTGCAATATGATCCCTCAACATTTAGTCCGTTTGCAATATGGTCCCCGACGTAACTGTTGGGGGACCATATTGCAAACAAACTAAATGTTGGGGGACTATATTGCAAGTTTTAAAAGTTGAGGGACTGTATTGCAAGTTTTAAAAGTTGAGTAACTTAAATGAAAGTTTTAGAAAAGTTCAGTGACCATTACTATACTTTACCCTAATAATAATAATTAGCTATTTAAGCCCGACCATAATTACCATAATTATGGTTTATCAGATACATTTATATGACATGTAACGTGGAATCAAACTCTATCAAGTTGGAAACGTTATCGGACGTTTGAAATATAGCTCGAGGCCTTCACATCCACGTTTTCGTTGCCATGACCCCAATACTCAATTGCAGACGCATACGACACCTTTTGCATTGATGATGCAACATTCGCAATATTTTTCTGTTCATGGAAAGTGCTAGTCGGCTGCTTCGAGCTAGCATAAGAATAGGTCGACACCCTCGGAATCGACGAATAGCTCGGTGTCGATTTCGTCGAGCAGGGAACCACCTTGCTGCTGCTTTCGCTGATGGGCCTTGCCTTGGTAAATAGAGAGAAAGACTTGGTTAACCTGCCTCTGAAGAATCCCTTCTTTTGAGTTGCTTCCATTTGAGTTGAATCCAGAGAAGGAAGAATGTGTAAACTGTTTGTGTGGACGATGAAGGTTAGAAGAAAAGAAGGTTTAATTTGTTGAGCAAAATCTCATGTCTTTATATAGAGAGAGCATTAGCTGTAGTGCATTCTATTGTAGATAATACAATGTATTATTCCAAATGGCATATTTTTTTGGATAATTTAGATTTTTATTACCCAAGGAAAGCAGTAACTGCTTCAAATCCAATACAATCAAACGAGCATGAAAAAAGGGGTGTCAAGATACACAAAATCATACTATACCCCAAGAATTACAAAGAGAAAGATTAGTTATATCAAATCTATTAACAACTCTATTGTTAAGTTAGATTCCTACAGTCTTTTTGATTGAGGCCAGAATCTCGTCTTCGGATCTATAGGTTCCTCGAAAAAGTCTTTGATTCCTTTCTTCCCATATTGTATAATTGAGAGTGCACCAAGAAAGCTTCAATATACTAGTAAGCAAGGACTTTCCTTTCCATGTGTTATATGCCCAAGTAAGCATATTAGTCCAGGTAATAAGAGGTTTATGAATACCTGTGAGCTGAAGAATAGAATTCCATATTGAAGCAGTTGTTTTACATTCAGCAAAGAGATGGTTTCAGGATTCCCTTGCTTCGGAACAGAGGATGCACATATCATTAGTTCCAATTCCAAACCGTAGCAACCTATCCTTTGTAGGAAGGCGATCCAAGATAACCATCCAAGAGATTAAGCTGTACTTGGGAATGTGGAATGAAAACCAAATCAGTTTATGCCATGGGACTTTAACATTTTTCTGTCGAACCTCTTCCCAAATCAGTTTGGTAGTCACAGCTCCGGATGCAAGAAGAGGTCGAGCAGTGTTCGGAGTTTCATGATTTTCCTTAGGATCCAACTTGAGTTCTTCGGTTCTTCCATGTGCCAGAAATCATGATCCTTGATTAGATAGTTGAGGATCCAAGCTACCCAAAGGGAACCCTCCCCTGCAAGTAATTTCTTGATGAGTAGTAGCATGCATGATTTGTTTCAAGACTTGATATCCTTAAGGCCAAGTCCGCCTTTCGACTTTGGGGTGCAAATTTTACCCCAGCTAACTCTAGCTCCCACTGCTGAAATGTCGGAACCTTTCCAAAAGTATCTCGAACAAATTTGTTCGATTTTGTTAATAACATATTGTGGCATGACAAGTTGCCTACACCAGAAGTTTGCCACACTAAAAAGAACTGGTTTGATCAACTCCATTATGCCAGCGTAACTTTGCTTCTTCCTGGACCATTGGTGGAGTTTGACCTTCATCTTGTCTATGAGAGGCTGGCAGTCTTTGACCGAAAGCTTCCTTGTGACCAGAGGTATCCCCATATATCTGACTGGTAGTTTTCCAAGCTTAAAACCAGAAGAATGAATAATAGTGTCAAGAGAGTAACTGAAATTCCAGCAGTAAAGATTTCACATTTTGCAACATTAAGCTTGAGGCCAGAAATTTCATAGAAGTAGTCAAGAACAGTGATGACTCCCATGACAGATTCCAGATTTCCCTTGCAAAAAATTAGGAGATCATCAGCAAAATAAGGTGGGTGAGATGAATTTTCTTGCATTTAGGATGGAAATTAATCACTGCCAAACACCTAATTAATGCAACAAATTCCCTACAGAATTTTGTTACAGATATAATGTACATATGGGAAGGTACCTTTTCTTTTCCTGGATGGTGATATAATTTACATTTTTTGTAGATTATAGGAATAAAGATTGCCCCATGCATGTTTGGCATCTAATATGTTCAGACATAAGATAGATTATCATAGACACATGATGAATAAAGTTGCTAAAGAATATGCCAATATATCTTCAATTTTGTCTTGTTATGTGTTGTCATGTTGTTTTGGTAACAGTATTAGATTCTAACTCGGTTCTTATCTGCTTTCGATGGAAATACGTGACATGCAAAAGGAATTGTAGAGGAGAAGGATATGATCTCATATAATTTTGGGTAAAGTACAGTAATGGTCACTGAACTTTTCTAAAGCTTTCATTTAGGTCCCCCAACTTTTAAAACTTGCAATACAGTCCCCCAACATTTAGTCCGTTTACAATATAGTCCTCCAACAGTTACGTCAGGAACCATATTGCAAACGGACTAAATGTTGAGTGACCATATTACAAACGGACTAAATGTTGGGGGATTATATTGCAAGTTTTAAAAGTTGAGGGACCTAAATGAAAGCTTTTGAAAAATTCTGTGACCATTACTATACTTTACTCTTTTATTTATGACTGGGCCTTCTTTAGAATTAATGATGCTATTTGGATAGAATATGCTTGATTGTGAAATCACAACAAGGCTAATATCTGCTAGTTCGGGTTCTGTGCACAAATATTAGGTTTTTTTTCGCAATAGGGAAAACTGTTTTATTAATTAGTTCAATAGGATAAATAGAAGTTTATTTTTAGATCTACTCTAATTATTACAGTGTTCAAGAAAAGCGTCACGTGGAGGTGATGAGTCTACCCAAATAATATTTTTTATTCAAACTTATCACGTCAATATGATGAGTTTTAATAAAATATAAATTTTTTTATTAAATTTTATCATATCGAGAATAAAAAGTTTGAATAAAATTTAATATTTGGGCTTTGAATAAAAAAATTATTCAAACTTTTTAATACGATTGATGGACACCTTGAACAAGAGGGAGGAAATCTCAATATTGTTGAAGAATAGGACACTAGACTTGAAGACTTTAGGAGAAGGCCAAGGAGATCTAGGGAGTTGTGGAGTCACATCTTGACATGCTAGAGTGCATAAAAAATTGATTTAAAGACGAGACACAACATGTTCTTAATGAGTTGAATTAGAAGATGACCCAAAGGAGTATTACTCTCGAAGCTGAGGTGATGGCTTTTGTAACACCCTAATTTAGGGGCTAAATTTTAAGAATTTTAAAGTGGTGAATTTAATTTGGTATTTTGGAAGAACATTGAGGATTAAATTGTAAAATCGTAAAGTTGACAGATCATTTTAAGAAGTGCAGGAAATTCAGTAACTAAACTCATGGTTTACCCATTTTCTTTATGGGATGAATTATAACCCCCACATCCCGTGTGTTTTTATGTAGAAATTTCTCAGTTTTTCCTCTTCAACAACCCTTTTTTCAACTCCGATCTACTCGTCGTCCGACCTCCGATCGATGAACTGAAACCACCATCGTGTTCGTTGTCGACCGAGGAACAAAACCCGTCAAACCTTTCATCGTGAATCGTCGCTATTCGTCGTTAATTTCAGTCGAAAGTATCGTCGGTAATAACTCAATTTTAGTTGGTTTTTCGTCGATTCACGACGATCCGGTCATTCGTTTACGACAACTCCCGCACCATCGTGTTCCTTGTGTCGTTCCGAGTCTGCCGATGTTCTCTTTGTCTCCGTCGGTGGTGACGCGTGAGGAGGTGAAGCAGTCAAAGTTTCTGACGTTTCGGAATTGAGCTCTCCGCCGTTGAAAATTGTGAACCGAGCTTGGTAAGTGCCTCAAAATCGCTTAAAATAATTTTTAGGATTTTTTTCGGGAATTTTTTGACACCGGAGCACTGTTCACACACCGCACGCGCCACCCCCGAGAGTGGGCATCGTCTAGGTGATAATTTTGTAATTAATTTATGTTTGGGTGCTATTTGTGTAAAATTCGGGAGTTAGTTTCGTAAATATTTACAGAATGTGGCTAATTTGGTAATTAATTTCTGTTATGGTGATATTTGTGTAAAATGGTCGACCGTTGACCGGCGTTGACCACAGTTAACCAGAAATTTGATCGGCTTTGACCGGACATTAAACGACCTTTGACCGAGTATACCTATCCTAACATTTTTCGACGCTCCAAATCCGATTTCGTAATCCGTTTTTCGAAATTCGGACCCGAAGGCCTCAAAATTACCAGTCAAACCCGTTAACTTTGACCGAAAATTCAAGATTTTTGAAAAGTCATATTTTATGTTTTCGACGTCCTAAATATGAATCCGAAGTCCGTTTCGCAATATTCGAACCGGTAAGCTGTTTTTCACTGATTTATCATCCGATTCGATCCGTTTTTCAGTACTAAGCTCTGTTTTTTATGTAATTTCTATTGATATGGATCCGAGGAA